TCTTTGCCTTTTTGAATTTCGCACTCAACACTTTTTCCACCCCAGCATGTGTTTTCGTACCTATCTTAAAAAAGTGGTTAACGCTCAAGGATATATTTCATAATGGCCTTGAGCATGGAGTCCAAATTCGATATCGTAACTTGTTCTATGTAGTGTAACTGCCACGGAGCCTGTAAGCGAAGAAGATTATAGTGTCACCATGAGCATAACTCGGTGTACTTTCATCAACATCTGGAAACCAAAACCTCACTACAAAGATTCTTAACAGTATATATTATTGAAAGAGACCATAGATATCGATCATTTATTTTTTGCAACTCACTGTTCGTGCTGTGACAACTCGGACGAACTCAAGCACTTGTTAAATTCGCATTCCTTACTGTGTTTGTACGTGCCGACACCCGTGTGAGCCTGAAATGACCGAGCGCTTTTTATCTTAAGGGTTATATTTGAATAAGACATGTAACCTACTGCATGTAAGGAATACTGACTTTACTCTGTCGACGCGTGATATTGTGTCAGATGAGACCACCTGTAGCCAGGTTGATGTACTTTACATTGTACTTTTGTTATGTCCCTCCTCGCCAATCCTACATTTGACGTCGCATAAAAGCACATAAATGCACTTCACAGTTTAAAATTTTGTGTGAAATCCCCTGCCTCTTGATATTACCCAGTGTTATGTAAGTCGGATCGATTATAACCATTATCTTTACTGGTCTTGTGTAAACAGAACTTCAGAATGAAACGTCCTACCGTGTATTCGTTGCATATATTAGCTCAATTTTGTTTTTAGAATATGCTTCGGAAGATTACCGTGGCAAGAATTAAGGAAAATAGACACATTACGATTTGGTAAATTCAAATGAATCTGTTAAACTTTCCGTCCTGCGTGACGCAAGGACTGAATCACGCTCAACAACAGTACTTGAGGCGTGGTCATTTCTGTGTAATCGTCTTGTTTCAGATGGAAAAAAGGGCAAATAACAACAGGAAGATGGTCAGAATGTTCTGATTACTTAGGCCATATATACAAATATTCTTGTTTCCCGACCCTGAAATTCGACCCGACCCAAAGATATTTTTTATTTTTTAAATTTACATGAGAGCTTTGACTTACAAAATGCAACTTTGTCTTCATTTTCACTCTTGATTTTCGGAGAAAAGGTCTAGATTTCGGTAGAAATCAAGGGATTTCGGACATAAAATAAAATAAAATGTAAAAATATAATCCGAGAGAATATTTTTTGAAAAAGTGATGAGAAACAAGATTATTTTTATATGTTGCCTTACATCACAGATTTATGAATATCTGAAGGTTCCTTAGCAAAATAGAATATCTATCGCACCACATTGCTTGTTGTTAAGGGCCGTTGACTTCACAGGCCCCCACTGCGGGTCAGAAAATCGATAAACTAGGCCCCGGTTTAGTATCAACAATCGATAAACTAGGCCCCGGTTTAGTATCAACACCCATAGTAGGGGTGTTGATACTAAACTCGGGGCCTAGTTTAACGATTTTCTGACCCACAGTGGGGGCCTGTGGTGATGATGAAGGGTGAATGAGAGAATTTTCTACGCCGTTTTAGCTATTTTCAGCAATATTACGTTGGGGGAGACACCCATGGGACGTTGTACCCATGTGGGAATCGAACTTCAGTGCGAGGAGCGAGCGCTTTAACAACTAGGCTACCCCACCGCCCCTGGTATCCCTGGGGACACAAGTTAAGCGACGTACAGTGATATGGTACCCACAGTCAACCAACAGTGCAACAGACAACATATGCTCTGTAATTCTTGCTGCAAAGGTTATGAAACCCTAAGGACAGTTAGTCTCGGTGCTCTGAGAGACAGTTACTTCCTCCACCCGGTCCTGCCTCATATCCAGTGAAAAATATGAGGACTTACGAAGTGGCATTCTTATGTGTACAGCTGACCTCAAACAGCTAGGCTCTAATTGCTGTATTATCAGAGTCTTATCGAAGCATGGTGTACCATGGGAACTAGTCTTCGCCAAAAATCATTTTGCTTAAAAGGCAATGAAAGAGTTTCGTCTAAATCCAAAGGAAGATACAGATTCTACAGTAAGCTTCAGTCTTGCAACAGCTAATTTGAATTTCAAGATCCGAAAAGGCGGACTTTCTGAGAGAGAAGGTTTACCCCAAATCGATCAGGTTACAGGTGTAAATCTGCGGTATGCAATCTCCTGCAGCTGCTTCATCGACAACATAACCATTCTTTTAGCAGGAGATCAAAAGCTCATGGCAGTCATCTTGTCGACTCTTGTGGTGTGTCCTTGGGAGATTTGGTCCACTTAAGGTTGACAAGGACAAGACTCGTGTACGAGATAAGTACAAGGTTAGATCGGTTTCCATTCAAGGTGTCCAAATTAAAACAATTCACACAATCACAGTTTAGATTCAAGGTCTACAATGTCCGACCAACAGACTGTTACCTGGTGAATCCAACCCTACTGGTCACCATTGCCAAGAATCAGATCAGATGTCTTTAAAAACGTGACAATATTGCAAGCACCTCACCTAAAATCTGGTTTATTCAGGCATAAATACATCCGACCAAACAACCAATGGCGCGGCTCCCACCACACATGATGCCCTTCATGGCTCAGTGTTAAGGTCTCGACTCATTGCCTATGCAGATCCCAACACTCCCGCACACCTCCAACCTGGCACAGAAGTGGTGAATGTGATATGGCACAATAACCTTGAACTCACACCAGATAGAATTTGTTGACGTGATGTTACCAGGTGTCAGCTTCCTTTAATGTTTATCTGCATACGTGCTTGTAAAACCTTCCTCTTCTGACTTGCATCATTTCCCGACAGCTGACGTTGAATCGTATGTCAGAATAAGATATTAAATACTTAGTCTAAGAATCTATTGTACTTTCTCGGGGAGACCAGTAGAGATAAGGGCCAATTTTATATTTACAGTATCAAGACTTGAATTCTTGCTGGTGTTGACTTGAGACATGGTAAAACAGTGCTCAAGAAACTGTGAATGACAGTGGGTAAATGTTCATTTTGTGATGATGGTGATGATGATGAGGGGGACAGGATGACGTGTGACTCGCGAATATAAGACATAGGGACAAGAATCATGGAGGATCTTCGCCACACATAGCTGGATTCATCTCTCAATCTATGTAATACAGATGACCGCCTTGTAAAGGAAAAACTGGATGCAGGTGGAAAAAATCCGGGGCCAGTTGAGATATGTTGACCCAAATACCACATTAATCTATGGTCTGTTTGCAGTGAAAACGTACCGGTGAATTGCACTTTAAACAAAAATATAAATCGAATGTAGTGAAATTAAGATTGCGAATCCTCATAATTCTACCTTGCCAATTGAACATTGAAATCTTAGATTTTTATTCAACTTATGAAAAAAGTTGTTTTTACAAACGATCATAGTTTCAAATCGCTTATATTGGTTTGTATTACAAGGGGGTAAGCGCAGTAGTTGGAACAGTGAAACAAATGCACGTTCGGTACGTGATGAGCGTTAACTTAGACCAACTTGATCTCGGTGTTTCATTTATGTGCATACCCCCGTGTAATACAAACCAATAATACCGATTTGAAACTATGATCAAACTTTTTGTTCATCCCAAGTTGAATAAAATTCTGAGATTTAAATTTTCAAATTGAAAGGTAAAATTATGAGGATTCGCAATCTTAATTTCACTTTATCTGATTTACTTTTCTGTTTAAAGTGAAATTCATCGGTACGTTTTCACCGCAAACAGACTATAAGGAATAATTGCCTGACTTACAGCTCCATCAAACGTCAACTGTGAATGATCCGTGACTGTATGATGCTTCTAGGAAATGTATGTCTGTGCAACGATGGTCCCCTCCCATCACTGAAAGTGATAGCTAATGTGGCCAAACAGCAAATTGTGTGCTTAAGGCAACGAAGCAGAAGCCTATAGTGCGAAGATAAAAGAAGAAAAATGAAGTTGAACAGTGAAAGCTAACTCTTGTCATGACTGTTACTTGAACTCATTGTGTTAAATGTGCATGTCATTTTTGTTCTTTTATGAGTGCTTCTTATGTTCGTTGTAATGTTTCTGTCAGTCCTCGTCAGCCATCGCAGTTGTTTTTGTGCAAAAGCACATGGTGTTAACTCAAGCTACACTTTCATTGTGTATAGTTTAGAGGGCCTAAAATATATATAAGCAATAACATGGAAATAATAGCTAGCAGTTTTGTAATCAATGTTTATGTTGTTAAATGGTGATCCGTTTTGTTAATCTTGTAACGTTTCTTTTGTTACAGCTTGCACCTCTCTGGAAATAAATTGTCGAAGAACAAATCTGTCAACCTCTTTTTATTAGGTCAGTCTACTAAAATTCAAATCTGAACTAAAACCACTGGAGACATGCACTTGTCAAGCACTTTACACATTGAAACATGCATCTATCAACCACTTTACTCGTGGGTAACACTCATCAGATACCTCATGGAAACGTGCACGTCCCAAACACCTAATACGGGCACCTGTCACTTATAAACACTGAAACACTCATCTATCACATACCTCATGGAACAGTGCACCTCCCAGACACCTAATACGTGCACCTGTCACTTATAAACACTGAAACACTCATCTATCACATACCTCATGGAACAGTCCACCTCCAAGACACCTAATACGGGCACCTGTCACTTATAAACACTGAAACACTCATCTATCACATACCTCATGGAACAGTCCACCTCTAAGACACCTAATACGGGCACCTGCCACATACATACACTGAAAGACACATCTATCACATACCTCGTGGAAAAGTGCACCTCACGGGCACCTGTCACATATAAACTCCACACACATACACACCGCTGTCATACAGATGCACAAGTATAATTGCACTCAGCAATATTCCAGCTATATGGCAGAGGTCTGTAAATAATTGAGTCTGGTCCAGGCAATCCAGTGATCAACAGCATGACCGTCGATCTACGCAATTGGGATACGATGACCTGAGTCAACCAAGTCAGCGAGCATGACCACCCGATCCCGTTAGTCGCCTCTTAGGACCAGCATGGGTTACTGAAGATCGATTCTAACCGGGGTCTTCACAGGTACAATACAGTTATACACACACATATCTAAAGGTTCTAATACTGAGCTAGAGCATATCAGAATGTCTGCACAAAGGTTCCACATAGCTGATTCTACTTCATGGCTGCCAGCTCTGACGAGTGAAGTGTGGAACGTGATTCAGAGTCAGGCACCCGCGAAGTTCAGATAAACAACAAATGTGAAGGTGCGTGATCCGATGATGAAAGCTTCCCGTCCAGTTCAAATGAGTAACGAATACGCAGGGCGGTTTTCCGAGGGGTACGTTGGTCTCAGGTGCCCGTCTGGTTCACACACGTGTCAGATTATCGCCTGAATGATTCGCTGCAAGCCTCCCGTCTAGTTCAGTGAGAATTATGATGTTGGGTTATCCTCTGGATAGGTTGGTGTTAGGTGTCCTGGTGTTAGGAAGAGCCGCAAATATGATGGTAGATGATTTGATGTCAAGTACCCATCTGGTTCAGATGAGTAGCAAATATGATGGGAGATGATTTTGGCGTCATGGCAATTATGAACGTGGGTTATCCCCAATATGATTTTATATACTCCTTGTCTGTGTCAGAAGAGTGCCAGATATGATGTTGGACCATCCCATTGTTCATTTGGCGTCAGGGACCCGTTTAGTTTAGATGGGTGAGAAATATGAAAGATTTTGTATGAACTCCCTTCTGGTTCAGATGAGGGACAAGTATGATGGTGGGTCATCCTCTCCTTCAGATGGTGTCAGATACATGCCCCCCTGACTCACCACAGAAGGGCGATTCCTGACGTCACTTCCTGGTTCAGTATAGTCATATACACTTGTATTATCTCTGTCTTCATCTAACATTTCCCCTTCTCTTGGCAGGCACTGAAGATGTATTTGGTCGTATGGCGGTGGAGGCGTTCCTTGTCTGTACTCGATGTCCGTGTAGGCTGGGAGAGAGCTTCTTCTTGGAGGATGTTCTGGAATGGTAAAGAAAGAAAGGATAGAGAAAGAGTGAATAATTTGAGTGAACACAAAACGCAAGTAATCTTGCGGCAAAATAGCAAGTATATTTCCAGCAATATGACGATATATGTATTCGAAAGCATGCCAGACCATCCAGTGATGAATATCGTTTTACGCCGTCTGTGTTGTGAAATGTTCAACCTTGACGGCAAGCCTGCTCTCTCTCTGATGTTGCAGTTTCATAGTTACCTGATTTCCAAGATTTCTTCCACATCCTGCGGATGAATGTGGTGAAGATGACAGCCAGGAAAACGAGAGATGCGCTACACACTGCCGCGATCAGGATAGTAGTCTTGGATACAGTCCTTGGACCTCTGTTGCCTTCTGAAAACAAACAATCACAAGGCCTTGTCCTTTAACAGTCTTGATTTCATTCTGGTTTTTTAAAATCATCTATGCAATCACTATGCAAATGACCTGCGTTCATTTTATCTAAAATTTAAAGCGGTAAAAGCTCTTTCCATAACCATATGGCATCTGAACCAGAGTTCATTGCACGATTCCAACAATATCATAAGAATGTGTTTATGTGTAAAAAAAGTAAGTCTTGAGTAATTAAAGTAAGTAATACTTATACGTACTTGTAACCTTTAGACATCCATTTCCAAAAACGTATCCGGCACCGTTGCTAACATTGCATTGAAAGCAAACAGCATCGACACTTCGTTTAACCTTCACGATGGTCAATACACTCCTGTCCTTGCTGAACTGGAACCGTCTATCTCCTGTAACATAACAACACACATGTATCACAAGCTTACCACACAGTGTAGACACGACTGACCAGTCACAGACATAATCACATTGGAGAGCTGCGTCCCAGAGTCGTCCAAGATGGGGGGTCCAAGTCTAGATTAGATCCGAAAAAAGATTCCTGGACCCAAAATCATAAACATTTCAAAATACAGGTAAAGAAAAAAGGTTCATGTCCAGGTTTCTTGGGAAATGTGATTGTAAAATGGAAGTAGTTCAATCACCAAAGTTTCTGAATGACCCCACCACTAGCAGCGTTCTACTATGCGCTCATGTATATCAATACCCGTGAAGATCCGGGTTAGAATTGATCTTCAGTAACCCATGCTTGTCGTAAGAGGCGACCAACGGGATCGGGTGGTCAAGCTCTCTGACCTGGTTGAAGCATGTCATCGGATCCCAATTGCGTTGATCGATGCTCATGTTGATCACTGGATTGTCTAGTCCAGATTCGAATATTTACAGACCGTCGCCATATAGTGCGGCGTTTAACAACAAAACAAACAAACAAATCGTGTAAATCAGGCGTAGGCGTGTCAGCATTATGGGGGAAGAAGTCACTCATACAGCTTGTATTTTGATTAGACAGTGAGCTAAAAAGCTATAATAACTATATATACAATAGGTTTCCGGTTCACCGAATATGAAATGGCAAAGGGAACGGATCAGTCATCAGATCAAGTCTTTGATGCATCACACCGCACACGATATCATCCAATAATTATGACAATGAAATGTAAATAATAGTTAGGACCGAACAAACAAGTGATTGAAATGATGAACATCGATCTTTGCATTACCGACACAATGACATGTATCAGCCTAGTCAGCGAGCCTAACCTCCCATCCCGTTTATCGCCTCACAACCAGAAGACCAATTCTAAAACGGGATCTTCACAGAGAGTCATCCAGTAATATATGTATGACAAAGTGAATTACATACCTGTGCTTGCAGGGTTGATTTCATTACCATTGTTGTACCAGACAGGGAACCCTGGCTGAGATTCTCTCCCAACTGATCCTGTTTTGCAACTCAAGTGAGCTACTCTTCCTTCAGGAACTGTAATATCTGTGAGCGGCTTCATCCAAACAGGTTTGGCTGTAATCAAAATAAAATAACCTTAGACCACTTCCAGAACACTATGTCTTGAAAAACGGAGTTAAACCTCTCAATCTTAAGTCTAGCAAAATGATGGCGTTTTCCTGGATAGTGAATGTGTTTCACGGTGTGTTTTGGGCCCAGTCCTAAACGTTGTGACTATACAGCCTTTTGTGAAAATAATATTGAATAAAGAAGAGATAGAAAATGTCTCCTACATGTGACCGTGACGTCGACGTGTGCCTCGTCGGTAACGCCGTTACTACCGCTACACGAGTAGCGTCCCCCGTCGTCTATGGCCAGGTTCCGGATTCTGAGTCTCCGGCCGAAGGAACCAGGGACGAGTTCAAACTTCCTAGTGTGGGGAAGAGTTGTACCGTTTATGTACTTCCACGTCGTTACTGGCGTTGGACTGGGAACGAGAATAGTTAAACGGGTTAATATAAAACATAAAACACACTACACATTTATTTTACACCCTTAACATAGTATTGAACAAAGGTATCTGCCACATACATTGCCAGAATTGTATCTGTTACATTATTGTTAAAGTGATATCTGTCACACACAAAGCATATAGGTATCTGTCACACTCAAAGATACAGATATATCTGTCACACCAATCATCACAAATGCATGCTTGGAGCGCCCATGTGATGCTCCGTTTTTACGTACTGTCCACTGAATACACACTCCAGATCTGCTGTTTGGCGCACGAGAAACCTGGGCTGTACTGTCTGGGACCTGATACGGGAAGGGTGTGTTGGTGGACCTGTGGATCAAACCATGAACAAAGCATTTAAATATAATCTGCAGTAATGGTATTTAACAATAACAACAATAACTTGTATATCCATGGTGGTACATTATTACCCAGTCAACGGAGCAGTTATTTCCGATATCATCTTAATAAGGCTGCAATAATGCTAACGGCGGCGTAAATACACTTTCCCTTGTTCACTCTAAAAGAATGGTTTGATAATATAGCTAAAACCGATCCAAACTTGTTTTAGAATATAGTAACAAGCTTCCTTGTGTTCTTTTAAGTCGGCGATCTAATTACACACACAGCAGCTAGTACACTTACTGGTGATTTTCGTGATGGCTACCTCATACTTCCTCCCAAGCAGGAAGTGGTCTGGAGAGGTCACCCCGCACTGGTAGATCGTGCCGCCATCCGAGGCGGTTGTGTATATGAAGTGCAAGGTACCTTTTGTAATTGAAAGATGAAGTTGAAAGATACATGTTGCTTGTAATGGAATAATTCAGTTACAGATTTTGTTCCTTACTTATTTGTAGATCAAATTTAAAGATATCTGTTATTGAAAGATGGGGGTGAAAGATCAATGTTGCTTGTTGTGAAACAAATTCAGTAACAGATTTTGTCATTTAATAATTTGTGGATCAAATTTAAAGTTATCTGTCTCATATCCAACTATCAGTAGAAATGCCCTTGTTGGTCACAGCCTCCTTCAAATGTGTATATCTACATAAATAACACTGACCACAAGGAACTGGAAACACAGAGAAGAAATATTGAACGATTTAGCGATAAACGTAGAACGTGGAGGAAACGGAGATGTGTAACACAGAGAGGAAACGTTGGAGGTATAGCAACAGAAAACGCTGAGAGGAAACAAATAGAGAAATGCAGTTAGACGTGAAGAAACGAAGACTATTTGGGAACATTGCACAAATTATGAACGTAGACCTCTAGGTAAAATGGTAGAATATAGAGGAGAAACGTAGACTATTGTTTGGAACGTACTACATTGTGACATATTCTTACGCAGGGGAGATTCCTTGGGTAAAGACATCTCAGACTGGATAAATGTACTTGCCTTCGAGACCTGACGCGTGTGATTGTCGAAAGTTGAAATTGTGCAATGGTTTGTGCAAGTCCCATACACAAATGTTCTGTATGTAATATAACTGATCCCCACTGTGATATGCCGTACTATTTAACATGAATTTATCAAATTGATCTTATTGTTTCTATACATGAGTTTGTGTTGTTGATGCCAGATGTTCTCCATCTCAGGCGGTGCTTATTATATCCAGTTGGTTCACAGAAAAGAATCTACACTTACAATGTGTATCTGACAGTACAGGATCGTATAATACTTTCTCCATTACATGAATTTTACAAATTGTGAGAAATTATATATAATAACACCTTTTTTGTCAATATGCAGTCTTCCTTCGTATCTGGAAATGTTTATCTGTGTGAGAGCAGGTTCGCTTCTATACCAGGTTATCTTCGACTTCAAGCACTCTGGAGGACAATCACATTCTAAAGCCAGATACTGGAATTCCTGACGCACAAACCGAGAGTTGTTAGATTTCCTCCATGTCTTGCACTGGCCTGGAAAAGGAAGATTTGTCATTAATCCGTCTAAATAATTTAAGTTTATACATTAAAGAGTAAAAAGAAATCCATGCTTACAGAGGCAGTGAGAGAGTATGTTTATACGACGCTTTTAACACTATTCCAGACATATCAGCTGGGTGCACTTGAAATTGGAACGAGTAATTTGCACATCGCAGAACATAAATAAATATACCGTTTCGTGCGTGAGAGAGTACAATTTGCATTACATAGAACGAGGTGATACGACGTAATGTAAATACAATACTATTCACGGCGACGGTAGACAATTACACGTATAAAAAGGAAAAGAAAATGCTATATACCTTGCGCTAATGCGGAAACATACGTTAAGTTAAACATACACCTAAGTGGTGATGTGTTTTGCCAATAAAAATTACAAAACATGTTTCGCCTAAACTATGACATGACATGACATGTTACGTCTAGATCTAATACACCAAATGTTTACCTTAGAACTGATACCAAATACATGCGATAGGCTAGGTCTATACTTAGGCTAAGAGGAGCAGCCTTGTGGTTAAAGTGTTCGCTCGTCACGCCTGCGACCCGGGTTCGGTTCCCTACATGGGTACAGTTTGTGATGCCTTTGTCTGGTGTTCCCCGCAGTCATATTACTGGGATATATATAGTTACTCACTCACTCACTGCCTCTTACCACTTACTGTAGATGTTCAAGGTGATGGGCTGGGATGCGGCAACTGCAGTAGCTCCATAGGTATCTTCATTTTCAGCCATACACTGGTAGTCTCCCTTGTGTTGGGCTGACACGTTGGTCAGAGTCAGGTCGCCACTACTGGAACACTCGGGTATTCTTCTTCCATTATGCTTCCACCGGTAACTGTGACATAACAGAAAGCGTCGCAGTTTAACACGGATACCCCACTCAGATCTACTGACTGAAACTAGCCATTGTTGTATCCTATTAATGTCGGGCGGCTGGCAGTACAAGTACTAACTTTGGTATAGTGCGGCCTGGGTTTCCAAACATGGTTCTCCAGCCGCTGGTAGATGCACTGTGCACTACCTCTGTGGAGGCAGTCTCTTATTAGGATAAGGGCATAATTTGTTTATGTGTTTCACCTAGCCACCAAATTCTGAACATGGGTCGGTCGGTCGGAAAAAAAACCCTTAATAAAGACAAAATTATCTGAATAATGTTCTTGATTCCCATATATTGTAATTCTTATTACAATTTCTCGCGTTCTTTGGACTTGTGGCAGCGACTGATTAAAAGATAAACATTTTATATGACGAGGCGGTACGTTTTAGGTTCGAGTGTTGGATGGAATGAATAAAAAAGTTTCTTGGAGGGGCTCGGCAATAAAATTAGGAGGGTCGGTCGGGTGATGAGAAACACAAAAAATAAAAATGCTGCCCTAACTAGAGGTATGGGCACTTGTGACCAAAGTAATGGCGTAAATCTTGCAGGAAGCAAAGGAACTGTAAGTCCCTATGATCCTCAGTCAGGTAGTTTCACTTTGGTTATCGCTGGTGGTCTATGACCTGGTTTAATTGACAGTACTGAATCTGTTGTAGATCTATGTGTTCTTCATTTTAATCAGGTTTGTTTCATATTATGCCAGTGTTTTACTATCCTTTGATGGTTGATATTTTACAATGAATAACTTGTTTTCATTGCTATATAACTGTAATATTACTGATGCGACGTAAACGTTTAACTCACTCACTCACTTCTCACTTTAATGCACATGTATTTGGTACTATACAACGCTTGATGTGTCAAGTGCCCTGAAGTCTAACGCACCGTTTACTCTCTCATTATTAAGTACATTTATGTTACATATTAAAGAGGTTTCCTTTTAGCGCAAACATTACATTTAGCTGCAAATTACCCTCTTGGTGATGTGTTGATAAGACTGACTGACTGACTGAGTTTGGTTTTACGCCGCTTTTAGCAATATTCCAGCAACATCACGGCGGGGAACACCAGAAATGGGCTTCACACATTGTACCCTTGTGGGGATTCGAACCCGGGTCTTCGGCGTGACGAGCCAACGCTTTAACCACTAGGCTACCCCACCGCCCCTGTTGATAAGACGAGACAGAAATAAAATATAGAATGTTATGTCTACGATCTAGTAGGGATCATGCCAAAACGGAAATAACGTTCAGTAATAACCTGTCATAAACAACATGCAAATAGAAATAAAAACGTTTTTCTTCGACTACAAAAAAGCGAATTTAAAGACGTACAATTCTGCCTGGGACTTGACCCACGTATTGACAGTGCTTGGTGCTGTATTCAGCAACCTCCCTATTCAGACTCCCGTGTTCACCTTGGTAGAGGTCATCTCAACTGACAACCATTCTTCTTGGTTTTACAAAACACGCAATAACTGAATACGCGTGAAGACTTGTAATCCACGGAAGGCCATGGTTATTTATGTCGGTAGCCATGGTTATGCTCATCAGTGGTAATGCCATGGTTATCTATAATTATATGGTCTATTATATGGCCTCTGGTTAAACAGAATGAGACAGAATATAAAGCTCAGCCCGTTTTAACTGTGCGGGTGAGTGAATGCCGTCCTACCTTGTGCAACAAAACCCCCTGAATCCCACCCTCCTCTATCTAATACATTTAAGACTGACGGGCAAGAGAAGGTATCCATATATGATTGATGGCGGCCAAAATGAAACAAAACAAGATTTGGTTATTAGATGTTGAATTATAAGATACAGGTGTCATAGGGCCGGAAATCTACAGTGTTTAGAAGACTGTTTTAGCCAAATACTTTTTTGCATAACGTTTGTAATGTTTTGGTCAAATCCAATTTTGAGTGAGTGAGTATGGTCTTACGCCGCTTTTAGCAATATTCCAGCAATATCGCGGCGGGGGGCACCAGAAAAGGGCTTCACACATTGTGCCGATGTGGGGAATCGAACCCGGGTCTTCGGCGTGATGCTTTAACCACTAGGCTACCCCACCACCCCTCAAGTTTGAAGATTTAGTGCATACTTTTGGACAAAATGTTTGGTTTTCGATCAGATATATCCATTTGTTTAACACGGTTGATGTAAGTAAATTATATTTATTTATTTATTTAAGTGGGGCAGTGTACAAAGGTTGAGTCAGTGAGTTAGTGAGTGAGTCAGTGAGTGATCCTTATTCCAGCTATGCCACTTCATCTTCTAAATAATCAGGTCCTGCTGGGCAAGTGGCTAATCGCATGACCAGCGGCTTGCATGGTCGGGGCAATGACATCCGAGTCTCATTGCGAAAAGTACATGCAATGTACTCGTACACACATATATTATTATATAGTTCCCGAGAGGTGTACATTCTTCACAGGTCTTGATTCCAAGCCACTTCAGTCAAGGCGATTCCCAATACTTGGTGTGCGAATTTACTGTTTGTTGAAGGTATACAGTTCGTTTTCTGTCAAAACAACACTTGTCACCTACCCTGGTGTGGGATGCCCCGTGGCTCGGCACTTCAGCGTCACGTCGCTGTTTTCTGCCACAGAAAGTGTTTTACTTTCCACAGGTTCCAGGAACGCCGGGGGTGCACCATCTGTAAGGAACAAACACATATCTCATGTCAGTAACCTGACAAAAACCACAAACAGTTTACATCATTAAGAAACAATTATGAAACCAGCCTGTTTGGTCAACAAACGTCATTATCATACAACTGGTAGTTTATCTCATTTTGTAGTGCTGAGGACTACCGGTATGGTCATATGACAGTGAGTGAGTGAGTTAGTATGGTTTTACGCCGCTTTTAGCAATATACCAGCAATATCGCGGTGGGGGACACCAGAAATGGGCTTCATACATTGTACCCATGTAGGAATCGAACCTGGGTCTTCGGCGTGACGAGCGAACGCTTTAACGACTAGGCTACCCACCGCCCTGCCGAATATTGAGATACGGTTAAATACAAGTCACACAGCATTTGCCTTACTTTAACTGTCCTTTAACTGTTTAAACATGAACGAACCGGTTTTGGTCATTACTTGAGCAAAACCAAGCTATATGGTGAGTGAGCAGATTTGGCTTAAAAAATGCAAATTCAACTTATAAAGTTGAAAAATAACGCGATGAAAAACCCGCGCGAATCGGAGTTCAAACGTTTCACTAATTTTCCCAGACTTTTCTGGGGAATACAGGTTTCAACAGCTAGGCTGCGCTCATAGCACGTGCGCAGTGAAATAGGTTCGCGCAACTTGGAAGCGGGCTGTCTGGTGAATACTCGGTGAAGGCTTTGGTTTGAGCTATTTTCATAATGTTTTGTTGATATCTCACAGGCGCGAGCTTTTTATATGTTATGACAGTAAATAAACTGTTTATATAATTCCATTTGCCTATTTCACCACACGTTCTTCTTACCGAGTCACTTTCTCAGTTCGATACTAAAAGCAATGTCATTATTTAGCATTGACACAATTTCTAACTGTGATATAGATATGTCGCTGTCACAGACAAAACTCAATGTCTTGTTTTATTGACACCTGTGTGTCTGCCTGCCTGTCTGCTAATGACAATATTCAATACACAGCTGCGATCACTGACCACATGCAATTTGAACTTAACACCAATCAGGCTATACACCATAAACAAAACGCATTGATTTATGGCCCGAGTTCGGTCTCTGTCACATTATGTAATTACACAGACAGGCAGGTGTGATACTTGAACACATGACATGTTATGATGTCTGTTGATTGCAAAATGTTATACACAAAAAATGAGCATGTATTTACAAAACCCAACATGTCTCTATATATATACACACAATTAGCCGTGAAGGCATCTGCAAATGAACCAGCCGTTACACTTGAGTGCACACCCACCCGCTCTGACTGGGTTCGGTATCCCGGCTGCTTCGTTTCGAGGGAGGTAAACCCAAGTACAAAATATTGCACTTTTGATTTGCGATTATGCGCTTATAATTATGTTTATTTGTTTTTTCATAATCAGCAATGCATGTTATATGTCATGAAGAAGTGATAATTGTGTTTTAATTATGTTTGATTTTTTGGTTGCATGTGACCTTTAACGCCGCATCAGTAAGTTTGCTGCTATTCGCGTCGATTGCAAACTGATAAATATCATTCGTTGACCATATTTCATAAGGGGGGGGGGGGTTGGGGTAGCCTTAGTTTTAAAAATTTGCTCACAAGGCCAAAAGTCCAGTTTCGATTCCCCTGGTTACGATATCTGAAGCCAATTTCTGGTGATATTGCTGGAATATGGCTAAAGCAGATTGAAACCATACTCAGTCACACGTAAGGGTGTAGGAATCGACATGGCTAGTATAGATCTATATGTCTCAAACCTAAGTTGACGGGATATTTGCAGGACTACCGATGCGTCCATGAGCCAAATTTGCTCAACCAGTCACATTTCTTCATACAATAGCTATCCATGGCATAAGTCATCACTACATGTCATCATACCGGCGTTAAGTATGAATGACCAGTGACGGAGATGGTATTGTCAGGGATGCAACTGGAAGTATGATTATCACGTAAAGGTGACACAACTGGGTACATAAATACGACTATGGCTGAAAACAGCTGCAGATTTTCAGTCCTCTCCCCATAACCCCGACTGACCGAGTGAAACAGATCGGGGAGCGTGAAGGATGAACCAGATACTATAGTGTGGGTATGCACATGTACGCGAAGGTTTCTGTCGGTTAGCCTCTCAAGGAAGGATTTCTCCGCATGAAAATACTATGTGATTGGATCGGTGATCCAGTCATCAAACACAACCTGCATAAATCTTACTACAGCGAGGATGTTCTAAAGGGGACCATCTTAAATGAACCTTCAAGGAAACATGTAGTGAGTGAGTGAGTGAGTTAAGATGTTACGTCACATATTTTAGCCTGTCGTATCGTGACATACATACATACATACATACATACATACATACATACATACATACATACATACATACATACATACATACATACGTGGCAGAAAGCTGGATGGATGGATAGATAGATAGGTGGTGGTGTCACAGGTATATTCATTCAGTGCTTTCTTTGCAACAGCTATTGTGTTCTATCGTTGTACTCTCATTTAGCAGGTGGAGGTCGCGGTGTTTATAAACAAACTACAGAGAAACATGAGATGCTGTATGAACAGAGACGTAGCGATATGCATGAACAACCACTGAGATTCAATGGAACAAACGCTTTGTTGTTTACTACAATAGGTTTTATTTTAATACATCTCTACTTTACTCTTCTCCACTCAACTGTATTTTACTGTTCCAGCTATTTTAAAAGAGTCAGTGATATTATGACATTTCATTATCTGCGCAAATTATGATAGGACACTCTGCCATACCATCACAAGATATCGTCAGTTAGCTTTTAGACAACAAGTGTCCTGGAAAATAACCCACCTGAAACCCTATATACTACACTAAGTACACAAACCCAGCCCTCACTATACTGTAACTCTCCAGTCTCCACCAGACCGTGTCCCGGTAGACAAGTGGACGGTGCGTTTAGCTGGACGTCCAACTAGTAATCAACAAGGTCATACACACAGTCCGAGCCTACTTTGTCACCTAGTCCTCTTAGCACGGGATGGTGGGGATATAACAACGTCCTCAAAAAGGCTACACGGGCAGTACATCATAACTTGAAATATGACAAATAAGACATATATCTCTCACAACACACACACACACACACACACACACACACACACACACACACACACACACACACACACACACCACACCCATTGCTTACCTTGACAGGAGCAAAGCGTCAAAAACAGAACCATAGACCATGTCCCAATCATGGCGATTACACCTGAACTACATCGTAGGCATGTCGGTGTCCTTGAAAGAGAGTAAACGGTAACGTGAATATCCGCGAACCTTTGATGACTGCAAGCCTGGAGGACAACCCCTGTATAACCTTTAACCTTCGTTTTCAGTTTCCACCCGAGGGGAACTCTACACCTGCCTGACTTTATGTTGAAGGGTGTCTCGGCGAGATGTTGCCAGCCAGTAAAGTAGCAGGTGAAAGAAGTTGTGTTGAACAACAAATCAGATGTTAAGGTTGGCCGGTAATTGTCAGGGGGTGTTATGTTATAGCACGTGCGATGTATGGAATCACACTGTCTATAACGTTGTGTTAAAGGGCTACTGATGCAGAGCGATTAATGTTTCCAGCCAACAGTCTAATTACGAAACCTAGCTGCAAATTGGTCAGCCCCTGCTGCCTCGACCGTGACGGACACGGGGACTGGGCTGCTGTCCACTGTGGCTGTATTTCTTCAACTTAATTAGTGGGACATTAGGAAGGGGTCTTCTCGTTCACCCAGCAGCTTAAGGGATTAATAGTTATGCTAAAAAACAAAAGGTGTTGGGTAAGTGAGAATGACCCTTCCCTTGATGGTCAGTTAATGAATTTATTATAACACCACTCAGATTACCCGACAAAGCTTCCCATTTGGCATTTCTTGTGTCTGGAGTAAATATTCATCATTAGAAATTGAGGTCTGATGTGGCAAATGTATTACATCTTATGTAATATGCGCATGGAAGTGCAGCAAGAGGAATTATCAGCTGAGTTTCAAAACAAACATCGATCAAAGGATTAACCGATAATACGCTGATTGATTAATTGCTCTTATCCTGCACAGCGGATTTGTCAAAAGGTAGTGTTTATGGATGTATATTTACTAATCTATACTGAATACACCCTGTCGTAAAGTCTCTTTGTAAAACAACGTCCTTCCTTCAAAGGATTAACCGCCAATACATTGATTGATGGCTCATTATTGGCTAACTAAATTACATTTTTAAAGAATGGCGGACCAATAGGATAATACCAATTTGAAAAACCTGAAACGATAGATCACTTTTTAGCATATTAGATTGCTAAAAGACACATGACATGGAACAGGATTCTTTGTCAGCTGCAGATGAATGGCATCTCATTCCTTTATGTGGATATTGATGGCTATTTCCCCGAACAAGGTAATAGCCTGATATCCTCGCTATAACTTTAGTCTGTTTTAAATTTTAATATTTGCATTTTGTTTTAATTTGTTCGTTATGGCATTCAAAAGAATCATTTTTTTCTGCCGTGAAGTGTAATACAACATACACTAGGTCGCACTAAGGGCGTGTGTGTGAAATATGATACACGTTGGCAATCTATAAGATGTCTAGATATTACAGTCATGTTATAAATTCACTAAGTATAAGCAGATCGTGTGCATTTTGTTAAGTTTAAAAATGCATACAAATATGATAATAAACTAATTAGGATTATAAGACAAAATATAAAGACGTACATTGACTTCGTTATTTCAGTCCTAACATTTTTTACCACTGGCAGATGGTTAAACTTAAAATGTTTTCATTTGTTTGCAAAATATTGCCATTTAATAAACATTCAGATTGACTAGTAGTGAACCCAAGCTCACTACTCTCCCCAAGACTCCCCATGTACTTAGTTAGCCTTACTTTCAAAACAATGCTATTGTATCAGGCTTCTCACCAAATTCAAGGTCAAACAATTTCTTCAATCAAATTCTACATACATTTACGTTAACATTTTTATAAAGTCATCATTACTATGAAATCAAAATTTTACATCAAAATCAGCATTTTTATCAAAGTGAATATTTTTTTTATAAGAAACCAGATTATTCATCAAATGCAGTCTACATAAATTTACAACAAAATCAAGATTTTACATCAAAATCAGCATTTTTATCAAAGTGATTTTTTTTTTTATAAGAAACCAGATTATTCATCAAATGCAGTCTACATAAATTTACAACAAAATCAAGATTATCGAGTAAAAAAGATTTCATCTTCGTTAATCAGTCTATACCTATACTATCAGTTGCGCATGAGGGTGGCGCAGCAGAGGTAATGAACCAGTCATGAATTCTGGGATATCATCCGGGTACTCACCGGAGAAAAACAATAACAAAAGCTACAACCAGTCCACGGAAATTGCTCTGCATCAGTGGCCCTTTAAATCATTACCATTCTGTGTTGGGTCTTGCACAATTAAAACCCATATATGCTCTAAAGTGAAAAAATAATTTGGTTGAACTACTTCGTGTTCCAACCTCTCTCTCTCTCGCTTCCCCCTCTCTCTCTCTCTCTCTCTCTCTCTCTCTCTCTCTCTATATATATATATATATCTGTTAAAAAATATATATATAACATCCAAAAATACATGTAATGGTTTTAAGCACAGTTAAGGAGCCTATGTATTTGAGGTATTTCAAATCTACAAACAATTGTCTCTTACACCGCCTCTAATCAAATTTATAACAAATTAATATCCAAGTACTATTCCCATTCCCTTTAACTGTTTATTTTAAAGTAGATACGACTGAGAGTATGCAAGGTTCAAAGGTAACAACATCGTCGACGGGTTGTTGTAGTTGATTCCCAAAGTGGTATAGCCGGGTAATTGAATCACGGCGTAAAACAATAACACGTTCACTCATTCACCAACTGTTTAATACGGATGTACGTACATGGACGTTCCAGTCAGTAGATTTCGGTGATTAACCGAGAATTATTGTGCCATTTGGGATTGCTGAATCTTAGACAGGGCTTAACAAATATGCATTACAGAATATAATTAAATCTGTGTGGTAGTAGGTGGAAGAGAAGCACCGTTTACAAGGAGTGTACATTTGTCCTGATTACGAACTAATTTGGAATAGAAGGGTGCACGTTGTAAGGTCATCTTATTTGTGTGTGGATGTATCTGTCAAAGATTTGATTTATTTTTTAAATCAAATGATTTATGAACCTCAATGTTTGTGGTACAGATGATTTTCCTTCATTATTATCATAAATTTAAAAACTCAATATGCTTTTTGTAAATTTTGCAACGCGGATAAATATTATTGGCGCAAACATATTTGATCAGGCAAATGTCGAGATGTCGAGCGCAAATGTTTCAAACGCGAATTTTCATTTTATAGACAGAATCCCAGTCTGCGGGGGCGTCATTCACTGCGGAGCATGTCAACAGGAAGTAGTTAATGTTGGCGGCTTGGGGGAAATCGAGAAGGCTTTGTAAGTCTCAGAAATAATTGAATTTTCTATTTTGTTCAGTATTTAGATTAGATTTAGTAAAACGCGAATTATTTGAACTACAGATGCTGTTCATTTTGCACGAGTCAGACTTTTATAGCAGTAACATACGTACCGAATGGTTGTGTTTCAATTTTCAATTTTTTTGAACTTTTATGAATGCTTCGATTTCTTATATTTTACGAATGCACAACAATAATGTCAGAGTGAACGACTGACAGCTGACACTGGACTACCCTATGGATTGTTAAGGGTTGTTTGACTAGCAAGTGGTGCCTAACCCTAAAGATCGTCTGTGAAGGTGTAGCCAGAGACGACAGCCTGAGCTGATTGAAGCTACACTAAGCTGCGTCTGGCAAACAATACTCTTGCCTGGATTTATCATTTGCCTGTGTCAGCTACGACTGCCATCCAGAATTTAAATCGATCAGGGATAAATTTGACAATAGCTATGCTGCACCACTGCTGGTAAATTGTATTGTCAGGTTGCAATCATTGCAGGCAACAAATTGAACAATGTCCACCGCAAGTGCATAGCAATTTCTTTGACAGACATTTTAGAAGAAAATAAATGCAATAATGACAATTTTTATGGATACCAATTTCTTTAAATTGTGCATGCAACATTTCGATGAAGATGCAAAGATGCTTGACAACGGTACAAGAATCTCTGTCGAATGGTCACATTCATGAAATTAAAGTGTTTTTTTCCATAAAATTTGTCTTTCAAGTGCATATATTTATTAAGTAATTGTTTCCTGTCCACATTAGTAAAAGCCAAAATGTGTAGTGTTCAAATTTTTAGTTTGGATTGAAACCATTTAAATTGGGAAGGAGCTACAGTAAGATAAGGGATCTGGGGAAACGCTAGACTTGGTTCATATAGGGTTAGATTTATAGCATGATAGTAAACGATGGGTAGAAGGGAAAGTATTGTGGTACAGGAATTGTGTTCACGGACTGCAGCCAACCAGCACATTGTGGCTTACTGGTACAGCTTGTAGCATTAACTGGTGCAAACTGACTGTTGTGACTTTCACTTCACAGATTTTATGTGCTTTGTACTAGTTGGGTTAGTTATGCAGGGGTAACTCTGTCCTTGGTCCATAGACATGTTAGAGGGCGGTGGGGTAGCCAAGTGGTGTTCCCTGCCCTGATATTGCTGGAATATTGCTTAGCGGCATAAAAGCATACTCACTCACTCACTTAGTCCTTAGATCTCCTTTCAGATGAAGCACCCTTTTACCATCATTAGGCTTAGGTACCCCTCGGATCCTAAGGGTTAAGATCCCTTGCCAATCAAACACTTATGATTCTTATAGTTAGCTGGAAATTAGGGTATGGCAGAGCTACAGATAACTTGTTGGGTCATTGAGTTATGTACTCGCTTGTGTTCATCTCAATTGGGTATCCTAATTTTCCTTTGAGTAACCAGATAAATTGTACCCACCTCACTCAAACTCAATTGGGTATTTTGTCATTTTTCATTAATTGTAAAAATATAATAGAGTTTAAACGTTATTTATATTGGATCTGTAATATGAGAAACGATAAGAAAGACTGCAAGTTGCCAAGTTCATGTGTTGGAATAGAATCTCTGAATATACCTCAGTTATTTTATCTATGCACTGGTACGCAAGGTATGATTCAACATTTTTGTGTGTACGCATGTTAGATCAAATTTATTGAGTATTTACAAAAAGTCAAGCCTACTTGTACGCAATAGACTTAATAAGAATTGAGTTTTCACATAAATATTTGCGTAATTTACGCAGATACGCAGCTTATCTGTACCTCTGGTATGGTTTAGCTAATTCTTTTAACTATTTAATCCAGTGTATTATTTAGTTTTGTAGATGGCCAGTGTGCATAAAAGCCAGCAATTAGGTGCCAGTCACTTGGTAAGTGAGCACCACTTAATTGTGATAGCACCCAGAGTAAAGTATTGGTTAATTGGGTTAATCACTCATGTTTATTTTAAAGGGTCTGGCTCTTGTGTATTCCAATTAAAACACTGATTAGGAGTGGATTATATTTTGAAAAACAACCAGTGAATATTTCACCTGGATTATGTTAATATAAATTCTCAGAATGTATTGCAGTAAGCCAATGCATCTACAGTTAAATCCATGTTATGGTTATTGTTATATGTCCTTTTTCATGTTCAAGACAAATTTTGCATTTCAGGGTTGACAAGAAACACCCACCAAAATGGCTGAGTCAGGTGACAGACAAGGCAGGGTGAGTCTTGATTTGCAAAGCAGGACCAGTCCTGAGACTATTTAAAATTGTTTATTTATGCTGTGAATCTTAGTGTGATAACTATTAATGTTATTATCCTGTACGAGTAGTCCTATTGAGTAGTCAACAATGGTCAACCTAAAACACTGCTGGCCTATCAACTTGTGCAAACTTGTTTAAACACATGGTCAACCATTTGAACTTGACACACGAGCATGGGGGGCCTGGGGACCTCTGATTATTTTTCTTAACATGCAGACAATATGAGGGTCCTGTGATGTAACAGTGTAGAGAACTGTACATTTTGATAATTTCTTTAGAGCCTGGGATGAATAATTGATCATATGGACTGAAAAAAACAACCAAACAAATATTTTGTGTTCCTTTGGACGCAGTGAATTGTTTTCCTGGGTCCATTGTTTAAATTTGTGTGTACTGGACGCACATTTGCGTGTCGTGTAGAACTGTGTATACAGTAGAACCAGGGATCCATTCTGCAAAGTTGTGTATGTTTTACAATTGTTGGAAGTCCTTGTTAAAGTATGGGAGTTCCGATCATCTTAGCGCGAAACATTGCTTTATGTAACGGGGCCCATGACATTTAATCAAGTCAAGGTGAATATTATCATGATTCATCAATAAGAAGACATGCATTGTATTTACGTCTTGGTCAGCAGTCCTTTATTAATGTAGAATTACTGGCTTCACTTTAAACCAGCAGGTGTCTCTTGGGTCACTGGTTTGGAAACTTTGTGCAGCTTGTTGATAACATATTACACAGGTTGCTACTTGTTCTTCAGGTGAGGAAGAAATCTGCTAAAGTTCTGGAGATGGAGGAGTTTGAAGAGGCAGAGAAGAAACAGTTCACCAAGAAGGGAGCCGTGGATGTTTCCAAGGCAGTGAAGTCACCAACAGCACCAGCTGTGCCAACAGCTCCAACACTGCCAGCTACACCCAGTCCAACTGACCCACCACCTGCAAAGAAGCCAAAAATTAAGACAGAAAAAGTAGAGGTCTCTCCTATAGCTAAACAACTGCCTGTTACACCACCTCAAGTCAAAAGCAGTTCACAGGCTGTAAAAACGGGTCAGACACCCAGCAGTGTCATCAAGTTCCTGTTGAGCTCACCTGCTATTCCCACCACTCCATCTGTCAGCACTAAAGCTGTGACAAAGACTTCGCCCAATTCTGAACTCAGTCCAGGACAGTTAAGTCCAAATGTGAAGAAAACACTAAAAGCCAAAGTAAAGCTTGAACCGGGTGGAATTTTAATGGAAGATGATGAAGAAGATATGATCCTCTCAGAACCTGTGCCAGAGCTCATTAAACAGGAAGTAGATATTAAACCTAAATTACTTCTAACACCCAAACCACAAGTTCCAACTGCTATTCCAGTTGTTACTCCCCCCACTGCATCATCCAAGCCTATAGATGCTGCTGGGAGTATGGACAGTTTGAAAATGAAGCTTCTTCTATCACCGAGGGAAAAAAAGCCAAAGGCTTCTTTTGAACAAATGCTGGAATCAGGTAATCAAGCCACAGCCTTAGCCTTAGCAAAATCTGTTAAGAAGAAGAAAAAGAAGACAGTTGATGCCAGTGCTGTTCCTAAAGAACCATCTACTTCTAAACCTGTCGTTCCGTCCGAGAGTCCGAGTGCATCTGAGGCCATGCCCAATCTGGCTGCTCTGGTTACGTCCGGTAAAAAGAAACATTCGAGTAAGAAGAAGGTAAAGCCTGCTCAGACCCCTGGACCGGCCACCCCCAGCATGGACACGAATCTGGGCGCTTCTTTTAACTCCAGCAAACTGAGTGACAGTCCAATAGACGTGGAGTATGAACCAAATCTGGTCATCGCTGATGATGGAGATAAAGTCAAATCCAAGAAGAAGCTGAGTGGAAGTGGTAGCAAGGCCAAGAAGAAGCATGGTCAAGAAACGGGTAGTGGTATGTTGTTTGAATTTGTATGGCTCTTTAATTACATGTACGACTCCCCCACCATGCCATAGGGGTTTGGGGTTAGAAAAGGTCCCCACAAACCTATGATAGTTGTAAGAGGCAATCAAATGGATCTGGTGGTCAGACCTGGTGAATTGTTTATTGGCGTGCCTGCAGATATCATGGATTGATGCTAAATTCTATTTGCTAGATCGTATGTTGAAGAGTTGATTATGTAAAGGTTGCTGTCATAGAGCTGGATATCGCTGATTGTTGCATTAAGCGCAACACATGTACGCACACGCACTCACACATGTACGCACACATCTCATCACATCACATCACATCACTTGGCAATGCTAGAAATTTTGGTCCTTGTGACCTTGAGGTTTATGTGTTCAAGTTAATTAATCAGTGGATCTCTTTAGTTTTTAGCACTAGGGTAAAAAAATGACAAGGGCCTCTTGATTGGAATTAACGCCATTTTGTTCTGACAAATAGATATGTGCCCTTTTTGATTCATGACAGTGTTGATTCATGAAATAGAAAGCTTTTAAAGGTATTGTACATCATATGATGCAGAAGGTTCTCATCCGGCGCCACCTGAAGGAGACATAGCTGCACTTGCTGCCAAGGTGAAGGTTGGAGACAAGAAGAGTGGGAAGAAGAAAGAGAAAGAGAAGGAGAAAGAAGAATCTGACCTGCTTAGTAAGGTGAGACATGACATCAGTGATGGTTCCATTATAAACCACCATAAGTCACCCAATAATATTCCAGGTGCTTCATTGGGTAATGGGGTGAGAATGTTTAGTACACCAATGATGGAAATGGACAGCAAGTATTTACAAAGTGCACAGGTGGCAGTTTAAGATGCCAGCAGTTTTGTCCCTTTGGCACATCAGAAACCTATTGTGAGTGAGTATGGTTTTACACTGCTTTCAGCAGTATTCCAGGGATATCACCTGGGGACACCAGAAATGGGCTTCACACATTGTGCCCTTGCATGATGAGCAAATGTATCCGCTAGGCTATCTTACCACCCCTCATGGGTTTATTCCAGGTTGGCAATGATTATGTTTCTAGTTTTGTCAGCACAAAGCCCATAATCATGGGCCTCCATTACGGTCTAAGACCTGCAGTACTCTCCTGCTACATGAAGCTGAGGCCATGTGTAAGTAATCTTGGCCAAATAAGCTTTTTGCATAGCATAACATGACCAGGGCAAGATTATTGAGAGGAATACAAATCTCACTTAATTTGAAACAGTTCTTGCAAGTGATAGGGTCCTGGTGAGCTATAATATCCAGCCCCTCGCTGTGAATCAGGGCAGTGTGTGAAATAGTCTCCAGATTTTGCTAGCCAGTCTGGCTAGCTACGCCTGAAAGTTACTGGCCCACAAAATAATTCACTAGCCTGAAATTTGAATGTAGAAACTAAGCAAAAGGTTACAAAAACAGATGAGAATAAGATATTGTCGGCATGACACAGGTTTCATCATTAAGCTGCTAATATAATGGACATTTTTTATCAGGCCATAATCTTGCATGATTTAAAAGTGTATTATAACTTAACAAGTCAGAAAGAGTGATATATTTACAAAATGACCCCATGAAAATTCACTAGCCAGTCGGGGAGTGACTGTGGAGATGTATTGGCCCAACTCTGTGTTTACTAGCCACGGGCTAGCATGCCAGTGGCAATTTCGCACACTGAGTTTGGGGAGTGGTCATATTCAACAAAGTGATGGTATTTTAAGTCTTGTGTATTGCAGTGACCAAACATGGCCAGTGAATCTCAAGCTGATCAATCTTGTTTGTTCCAGAAACGGAAACGCCCACCTACAGCCTACACTCTTTACTGTAATGCTCATCGGGCTAAACTAGTCGCTGAAAACCCAGGCATTGGTGAGTTGTGCCCACAGTAGTGACGTTTGTTTGGTCCCTTCCAACATAGTGTTTCCTTTCAAGGGTATTTACCATCTTAAAATACAAGGTTGTACTGTCATGGATATTGTTATAACAAGGATGATAAGATAACTTAGCATTCTAATAACATGGTGTATACAGTGGACTCTGGCAATATCGGCCTCTATAAACACCGGCACTCTGTCTACATCAGCACAAAGTTTCAGTCCTGGCGGAAATGCACTTAATTATCATTTAGAAACATCTGTAAACATCGGCACCTGTCTACTCAGGATATCAGCATTATTTTTCAGTCCCAACGAAACAAGTTGTCATCAAAGCGAATCTGTAAAAAGCGGCACATGAAGGACGGCACAACCCTCTGATGCAAATAGGTCCAAATGATGTAACAACACAATTCGTGGTTACTCCCGAGATTATTCAGAAGCGGGGAAGTGTCAATCAGTTTCTTGTTAATTAGTGTTTATGAAGAAAATTATTGTAAAAGATTTCTTAAATAATATGTATGGTCTCCTATTTCCCAATATCAGTGGCTTTCCGCTCGATAGCGTGACACAACGGAAAATACCTCCGTTTTGAAGCCATTATGAATAATATGTGAAGGGCCCGAATCCTTTGATGGCGGTTATCGTTTGAAAGTTCTGAGCGTCAACAATATCACTGTACCCTTGCTGAGAGTATTTTCACATTTGTAAGAAGTGATTTTATTGGATAAAGATTGGTTTCTAATAGCGCTTTTTAGCCACAGTCTGCTATAGGGGGTTGTGATTGGTCAAAATCTGACCGCGTGACCTGAAGGAAGCCAATCATATTACAGCAATGGATACCGTCCTCTTAAACGAAAACTTTTAGATTTAGACAGTAGTGGGCAGTTTGACTGTAATAACGAGCAAGAGTTTACATGTTGTTGATTCGAGGGTATTTAAGGTAAAATCGTATGATGTAACAACACAATTTGGAAACACGACTTCTGTATCATGTGCAGAACTTGGAAAGTGCAGCTGAGGACATTGCACTCGAGGCATTGGCACACAAAATACAAAGTAAGATAGTGACTTTTTCACAAAGTAAACAAAATATACCTTGTTTTTATTTGAATAAATAAACATGAATGTGCATTCAGACACTGCCTTGTTTCTTATTCAAACATGTTGTTAATGCTAAAGTGACAGTACGACAGTGAACTTCCCGTGTGCTCCGGTGTCATAAGCGAACTTGCAACGTGCCTAAACCGACACGCTTTGAAAACCACCATTTTTATTTGGTCCTGAGTCTTGCCGGTATTGACAGAGTACACTGTACTAGACTGATGTTTGTGCCATCTATCAGTGTTGGGAGATATTTTAGGTGTCTTGAGCAAGTTTAGGTGTAGTCTTCTAGTATTTGAATTAAGGGACCATCTGTATGTGAAACATTTAACTGTTTGTAAGGACATGTCAACTTCCATGTGTACCTCCATGGTGTTGTCTTATTCTTAGTTCCTTTTTTCCAGATTTTGCCCAGATTAGCAGGCGTCTTGGAGAGATGTGGCAGACATTAACAAAGAAAGAAAAATGGGTACAGTAAAACTGTAATACACTGTGCATAACACATGTATTTAACTATGTTACAGAAAATATTTCTTTTCATGGTTTTGAAACTCTAAATTATGTTTACTTTGTGACTTATGCAGTATGAACCATGCAGTATCATGGTATTCTAGGCATTTCTTTAGGAATTCAAATTGTCATTACATACACAAAAGGCTCTATATGTGTCAAACCAAGGGATTGAGCCAAAACCATTTATTAGTTTCCAAATTTTCTGACAAGGGTGTTTCGAACTTGTTTTCTTTATTATTTCTGTTTAACAAGTTTTACAAAGAGATGATAATGCTAATAGTGAGTTCATAGGCTCATCAAATGCCATGAGCTGATGCCCATGTTTAGTTAACACACAATTTATATAAACTCAGGGCAATTGAACAAATGTTCTACTCACATGTTTTTGCCTCCTCCTTGATTCTACTTGTTACCTATGTCATGTTTGGGATTTCACTTAGTGATGTAACAGTGTAAACTCAGTACTCAAGTACTGTGGAGTCTCATCTTGGGTTTGACCCCCACTCTCAGAGGGCCTGCCTTATTGACAGCACACAAAGTCATTGACTTAACAATTAGATAGGACTTCACCCCAGGAAGGACTAGAAGTTAACTTTACTGGGAAAGAGTAATCAGAAAGATAACAATTTTAATTTTTTTAACATATACATATAATATTACATTTCACCACATTCTAAATGGCCTAGCCTATTCATGTCTTTATGTATCCAGTTTCAGATGATAATAAATTAAAGGACACAGTTAGGACCTTAGAGATTTCTACTCGTCTAGGTTTAAGTTGTTGTTTTCTGCCTAACACAGTTTGACTGTTTGTCTCTCTCCCGTAGTGTTGGAAAAGGAAAGCCAAGAAGATGGCTGGGAAGGGTTCCACCCTCATCAGCACAGGGAAGGGCAACAAGCCCAAACCTACAGTCTCCACACCCCCTGCCCCAGCTACACCCACTGCACCTACCCTGCCTGTTGCTAAGCCCATGGTGCCACACCAGGGGCCTCTACTGTATTACATAGCCAATTTACTTCAGGGGAGGAGTAATTGGCACTCAGTCCCATCAAGGTGTGTAAACCCTGTGAAACAAACTCTACTGTATTACATGGCTCCTAATTTACTCTGTCCTGACACAAACTGCTTCTTTGTGTGCACATTAGGTATTAGGGCATACTGCTGCTTAGTTTCTGAAAATATGTTTTGATGGACTATGTTTGGATATGACTACATATTAATTGAAAAGGGCCAAGATTGGTGGGAGGTTCCATTTACAGGTGCACACAGAAAAGCTGGCTGGAAGGCTATATGATTTTCAGGGACAAGGAGATGTAGAAGTCAGTAGTCAGAAATATTGGGGCCTTTGTTTTAGATCTTAGTCATTCTTTTTTTGGTTTCTTTTGCTTTGTGAAAAACATGCTATTAAGTTGAATAAAAAATGTGAATTCATCTGTGTTAATGTGAAATCCTGCTTGTATAATAACAAAAGGACAGCTGGTCCAACTTCGGTATCATTACTTCATCATGTTTGAGCTTCACACAATGCATCTCTTGGCTTGTCTGATTTTATAACTAATTATAAGTAGAGAAAGTGTTGATGATGTTCATGTGTGGTGGCTGTCAACAGTTGTCCCCCTTTGTCATTTATGGCATGCTTGAAAGTGCATCACTGTTTATATTATGTTTTGAGTTTGATGAATGTCATTATGTGTATATTTGTAGCACATCCAAGCAGTGCGTTCACATTCTGTAAGCTTGTAACATTGGTAACAGTACTGAAACACTTAATATGTCCTTGTTCCAGGGATTTGGAACAGAGCCTGTTGATGTGGCGGCCCATCTGAAGCTTCTTGGGGAGTCTCTCAGTATCATTGGGATGAGGCTGCAGGAACACAAGGTTAGAGTATACCACAGTAGCAGTCACTCACTTACTTCCTGACTGAATGGATATCTTTACAAGCATAGATTCTGATGATGTTCTCTTGTTGTTAGGGTTCTAACAATATCTAGTTGAACATTCATGTGAGTTGAGGTAATGTTATTTCTCTCTTGTCTTTCAGGGTCTGATAGCGGTGCAGGGTAGTATGTCCGTGCTTCTAGACTCACTACTGTGTTCATTCGGACCTCTCATGTGTCTCACACAGCAGGTGCCGGAAATCAATGGCTGCTCACGATCCACGCATGGCAAAACACTTGATAACATCGCCTATGTCATGCCAGGACTATGATGACCAGTGACTTGTATCATTGCACAGTGATGACAGACTTGTATCAATAAACAGTGATGACAGGCTTGTATCTATATGCTCCATGTCAGTTGACAGAAATCTGTAGTAGGTTAGAAGGTTTCCTTTAACTACAAATGCGTGTTCATGGTTGGAATATCAAGATGCTGAAGGTGTGACCATGCTTGGCAGTCAAGATCTGTGAATACATTGGGGGGAGATCAGACCAATAAGTGAAACATAGAATGCCAGTTTAAAACACTGTAACAATGAGTGTACGATCATGATCTGTCATGCTAAGAGTAAGATTGTCACATAGATGTTCATCAGATTCATTATTGCATTGTATGTGACCATGGTTTTCCAAACTGGAACTGACAGTTGTTCAATATCTGCTATAAATTAGTAGAAAATGCAATCTGGTCATTCTGTTGTTCAACTACGTTGGATGTTTGCTGATTTTTAGAAAGACCTTTTTGAAAAGAAGTGCTACAGATATCTTAGTTTGGAAATATGATTTCGTATCCAGTGCAATTAAGTAGAATCGGTAGGTAAAATATACAAATTGATCACTCATATACAGACATATAAAAAATTTAGTTTCATTTGTATGAAGGAATGGCAGAAAGAACAGTGCTGTGAAGTAGGTCACTGATGTCAGCATCCAAAGCATAGTTCCACAGAGCGATCTTAGCGCTAAGGTGATTGTATTTCCAGGGTCCAGACCCACAAAGCATTTGTAACGTTACGACCTGTTGTAACTACAGCTTTCCATAGGCTTATGAATGTCGTAGCGCTACGAATGCTTGTGCTTTAACGTAGGCTGAGTGTTTATCGTATTGTTTAGATCTGTTCGTGGAACGCGGCCAAGAGGTAAATGATTGTTACATCAAAGTGTGCTAATTGTTGATTAAGAACGTCCATCATGTTGTTGTCATTATTTATCATTATAAATAAAACATCATCATTCTCTATCATGATGCATTGTCTCTTCATTATCAGTGTAATATATTAACCCATGAAGGTCCGGGTTAGGGTATTGATCTTCAGTAACCCATGCTTGTCATAAGAGGCGACTAACGCTGACTTGGTTGACACATGTCATCGGTTCCCAATTGCGCAGATCGATGCTCATGCTGTTGATCACTGGATTGTCTGGCCCAGACTCGATTATTTACAAATCGCTGCCTTATAGCTGGAATATTGCTGAGTGTGGTGTAAAATTAAACTCACTCACTCACCCAGTGTAATATTTGTGGATAACTTATCTTTCAGTCAGGACCGACATTAAATATATATGGCTCAGACAGATCTCTGGTTGATAAAATGAGCAACCTTCAATGTTGTATAGGTAGTCACCACTGGGAGAAGGTCTCAAGTACCCTGTGCTTATCGACCCAATGCTCTGTTGCAATGACTGACTGACTGAGTTTTGTTTTACGCCGCTTTTAGCAATATTCCAGCAACATCACGGCGGGGGACACCAGAAATGGGCTTCACACATTGTGCCCATGTGGGGATTCGAACCCGGGTCTTCGGCGTGACGAGCCAACGCTTTAACCATTAGCCTACCCCTCCGCCCCTGTTGCAATGAAGGCTTGGAATCTTTCAACATTGCAATGCATTGCCTGTCACGTCCAGTGTTTTTGAGATTTGATCAGCTTGAATAATGCCGATTGTGGTTAAACAACATTTGCTCGTTTACCTGTCTCCCAAAGTAGGATGGTAATATATATACTGCAAATCACGAAATTTTTGCAAGTACCAACCAACACATGTTTTTGCGCCATGATGTTTGTCAACTTGCCTAATTCTCAAAAATAGATTGCAACTGACAGTTCTACCTAATGTAAATCCAATGACATATTAAAGGTTGCCGCTAATCTTGAACAGAACTCCGTAGAGTACATCCGTGTGTATGCAATCAGTGATGTTTTCCTAAAAACAACACACGATGCATAGGCCTGATAAGCTAAAAACAGTTCAAAGGGATTATATTAATTGGAATGCTTAATATTAAATTGTTGACAATGACATCACCAAAGCTGTTGATCTCTGGATAAGTGTGATGAAACCTATTCATGCCCGTTGGATGGTGTCAGGCCTATCAAACGGTCGCAAAAGACACAGAATGTGTGTTTGTGGTTGGCCTGTCTGGACTATCAGATGTACTGTTTGAGTAACTTTTGTTCGAGTATCCCTTGTTTGACGTGAGTACTAGTAATGCTAGTAGTTAGTTTCCCCCAAGTTGTCGTCATTGCTTAATTGATGTATTGTCTAGATCTGTTGTTGATTATATCAACTGGTGAGTAATTAATTGTGTCATGATATTTTTGCGAGCTCAAGTCATCCACAGCTTTCGCAAAAATATCATGCTCGCAAAAAAAATCGTGATTTACAGTAACTGAGCTGGATCAACATTCCTTGGTGTGACATGCAGAAAGTGTGGAGCTGCTGTTTTGGTCAACAAATAATGGAATGTATTTTACAGTTACTACACTGTGGTGTGGCTGTTGTGTGATGTACATGTGAACCTCAGTCCCATAACAAATCCAGACTTGATTATTTACAGACAGCCGCCTTATAGCTGGAATATTGCTGAGTGTGGCGTAAAACTAAACTCACTCACTCCCTCACTCCCATAACAAATAATCTCCAGGCAGTAACAAAGAACATCTGCCTATTTTCTCCATGACAATTTGTAAGTGAAGAAATTTGTTCATCCTGACAGTAATACAGAATACAGTACCATCCAGATGTGGGGTTTTCATCGTGTTGTAAAATGTAAACCAGGCAACACTGCAGTAACAGTTAAGACATAACAACATGACAGAGTTTTCTATATTCCCCATCCTAACTACCAAATAGTCAAAGTACTAACAAGTCTAATATGTTTACAATGTGGAGAAATATTGAAAGGTTTGGCATCAGAGAAAAAGTACACCAAATTTAACTTACTGCCATGGAAAAGCAAAAGTTTATTCAGTTTCCAGTATAGCACTTGATGATGCATAAACAAAGTTTTGTGAATATATTTAGAAAAAGCTTATAAGCTATGCTCTTGAAATGTAATCGTCCTTGTTGGAGAAGGCTAAAGAAAATACATTAAGCAAGGGCCATAACTCTTTTATTCTTAATGGCAGTTTTCAAACTTGAATATATAAAGATATTCACAATGTTATCAATAGTGGTTTCCCAGAAACTTGTGTGTCACATGTTTGTCAGATCAAACAAGGGCCATAACTGAGTATTTACATGACAATTTGATGACCATATACGTCCCATGATGATGAATGCCAAATCCTTCTGTCCAAGGGTGTTTCTGTTAAAATCTGTCCCATTTTACTCTATAGTAGAAGTACACAATGTCTAACAGGATAATGGAAAACAAATAACGCAATATTAGTTTGCGAGAAGATGTCTTCAACACTACCAAGATATGCAGCGTGTAATGATGAATGCCAAATGTTCTTGTATCCACACAACTTGTATTTAACATTATGAAAATTTTGTTTGCAAAACAGATTCATTGTTTTGGTTGAGGAGTACTCAGTCATATTTTTTCAAGGTTCATATTTTTTCCGAAAATAATTATGCTGTAATAGGCATCATGCATCATTTGTTATCCAGCACTTTCTAGGTTCCATTTCATAAACACAACTTTAATACTGATAGAAACCTTTCTGAAACCTTGTGTCACGTTGTCAATATGTTTAAATACATAACATAAAGGATAAGTGCCTGTCATATATGAAGTGACATGTGTGAGGGGTAGCATAATGGTTAAAGCGTCAGCTGAAGATCCGGATACGATGTATGAAGCCCGTTTCTGGTGTCCCCCACTGAGATATTGCTGGAATATTGCTAAAGGCAGCGTAAAACTATACTCACTCAATCAATTAATGTGTAAGGTCAGAGTCATTGAATTGGTTGATTGTGTGTCAGTGTACCCTATTGGAGTAGTAGCTTGCTCATTATATCAAGCACTGGTTACTCGACCTGACTATTCACCGGTGACCTTCATACAGGTGGAATTTTGCAGAGTGGCATTAGGGACCGTTCATAATTTATGGCTTGGGGGTGATGAAGATTTTAAGGAGGGTCACCAATTTTGGTTGTAGGGGTCACATGTTACACATGTACAAGGGGTGGGTGGCTGTGTCATCAAATTTGTACATAAACAAACATGCTTGATTTTGTATATGACATGCAGGGGATTCACTTACTGTGTACATAACTTTTAGGGGGGGAGGGGGGCACTCACATTGTACATGTTTCTCCATAAAAATCATCATCACACCCCCTAGCCATAAATAATGAATGGTCTCTTAGCAACAATCAATCAATCAGTTCCATGAATATATAAAAAATGATCAATCAAGTAACACAATATTTTTCATTAGAAGTTTTATTTCTTGAAGATTAATGAAGTATTAAAGACATGCATTGTGTTGTGGCGAGAACTTTAACAAGTGTATGAAAATAGTGACACATCCAAGTAGAAAAAATACTGTCAAACTGATAGTTACAAGTCACATTGTGAAACGGAAATGAACATTCCTCGCAGCAGGTGAAAGATTACATTGTAGCCACTGTTGATTTTACCAGTCTTAATAGGGAATATACACGATTTACAGCTAGTCCAATATCCCATCAGATAAAACATGTCAATTTTGTTTGTTTATGGGAAACAATATACAATATTCAAAATACATTTCACATTTATATTTTGTTTTTAGTGTAATTAGTTTTCAGCTAAAGCTTTTTGTCAATGGGTGGAGGTTAATACTAAATTGGGAACTTTAAAAAAGCGGAAATACTGAGGAAATGCGGAATACTGAGTTTAACTGAGCAAAGTAACAAAAGGACAATTTATTTGATCAACAGCATGCTAAAAAATAGTCACTGTTAATAGCATCGGAGAGATACATCTTTGGCACACGATCATATATTTAGAACATGCTGGGGTGTTTTTTCAGGAAAAAAGTCCTTTTCCAACTGCTGCGAGGATATTGTGTACAAAGTTGTAAATGATGCCCTCAAAGAAAAGTCAGACATTTCCCCTAGGTCTTCAAATGATGAATTTCTTTGGCTTGAGTTTTACTCTCCTAGGAGATGAAGGATTGTGTGAGACTCCACCTGAATGTTTCATGACATGAGACAGGGTTTGCTGAAACTTGTCTTTACCCCACAAGGAATTCTGGTGAAGTGATACAAAAATGCATTGCTTGTCTTGATGAAGTAGAAGGTCTAGGAGAAATATCTGGCATTATACAACTTGGCTAGAAACAATGTGTACCGATACTCTGAATTTGGAACTATTAAAATCAGTCTAAGTAAACTTCGTTAAATTCGTTAGCACTGCTATACTGAGTCTTAACAAAACCTAGTAGAAGGTCGCGTCAGCTAACCTTTGAGCGACCTACAACCGTCCAATCAAACGCAAGACGAACCGAACGGATTTGACCAATCAGACGACTACTTGTTAGGGTTTGGCGGGACTTACAAAACGTTGTTTTGTTTTTTTCACTTCATTGGTCGCTGACACTGATCTATCAACAAACGAAAATCTGCATGAACCACAGATATTTGACCTGCAGTATATACGTTTATGGGTTTCTAATGACATGGTTACTATTAGCTTATATTTCCTTAAGATGACATCCTTGAATATTGACAAAAACGCTATTTTCAGCGATTGTTTACGCATTGCGTCCTCCATGTGTATCACTCTGAACCGATCTAAGGGAAAATAGCATTTGGAATCGTCCGAGTTATTGAGGTAAAGGTTCAAACGGTATGTGCGAATGTGAACTTTCGCGATTTGGTAAGCTGTGTTCTGATTGGTCAGTCCAAAAGGTTAGCTGACGTGATCTTCTACTAGGTTTTGTTAGACTCAGTATAGCAGTGTAACGAATTATACTGAGCCTAAGTTTACTTCGACTGTATCAAAATCCAAGTGTCAGATTTTGTG